CCCCTGTCGGGCCGCTCTGCGTTGGTTTTAGTTCCCAGGGAACCGGGGTTGACGTTGCCGGGGCTCGGGCCGCTCGCTCTGCGTTTGGTTTTAGCTGGCAGGGAACCGGTTTGGGCTCGACGTCGGTGCCAAAAAAATAATCTGCAGTGCGGATGAAGATGCAACCCCACGGGCCTTGCCTAGGAGACCATGTGACCAGAACACGGCGCTGGCCGGCTAGTGTCTGCTGCCGTTCTGTTGGCTTACTAGCCAATCGGGGAGCGGCTTCTGATCACATGGGGATGTTTCTTACTCCGCCGTAGTGCACTGGGAGGAGTGATGCCCATGCCGTCTCGGCTACAGATTTAACCAAACTGCAGCACGGCACCCCCTTCCCTACGGGTCATGTTTTCCGTTCAGAACCCCCTTTTTTTTCTGTCGCATTCTATCCGGGGGGTGAAAGAAAGCAATCTTCATACTATTCGGGTTGTATATGTAGCAACGCCCCCAATTTAGACCTGCACTTTAATAGCCCGGCTACGAAGGCTACAGATTAAGGGAAGGGCCCTACACGGGTGATTTAAAGCAAACCTCCAGTGCTAAAAATAATAGACCTGCCAAAGTGGCTTTAGCTGCAGTACCAGCATTCAACCCAGAGCTGTCCCCTGCAGTGATCCCTATCCACCACTAATGGCCTCAGGCATTCAACCCCCTTCCTCTGTACCCAGCTGGTCATGGGCACACCCCCAGGAGGGGTACCATCATGCCGGCCTTGGCCCAGAATAATATTGCATAAAATGGTGCTCACGGTGGTTTTGTAAAGCTAAAGTTCCACTTTAGCTGCTACTTGGCGGCACGTTGAGCTGCTCTGTGATGCTCGTTGGCGGCACGTTGAGCTGCTCTGTGATGCTCGCTGGCACGTTGTGATGCTCGTTGGCGGCACGTTGAGCTGCTCTGTGATGCTCGCTGGCACGTTGTGATGCTCGTTGAGCTGCTCTGTGATGCTCGTTGGCGGCACCTTGAGCTGCTCTGTGATGCTCGTTGGCGGCACCTTGTGATGCTCGCTGGCACGTTGTGATGCTCGTTTGCGGCACGTTGAGCTGCTCTCTGATGCTCGTTGGCGGCACCTTGAGCTGCTCTCTGATGCTCGTTGGCGTCCCCACTGCTCCTTCCTAAAATCCCCAGTGGCTGGTATGGGAGTGGTGACTTCAGTAAGTTCTGGGGACCTAGCAATTGGGTGCTAGACTCGAGCCCTGCCACATTGGGGTTCACATGCTACCTCATACCTGATGGCAATGGAGGAACAGGCGGCAGGGTAAGAATCAGCGAGTCGGGGGGCCCCCTTTGGAAAAAAAAAAACATGGGTCACTTGACCTGGAATGGCTGAAGAGTAAGTCACCAGCACCCCAAAGGTTCTCCATATCTTTGGCGCGCCGGTGACTTCCTGTTCTGTCCATCTGATCCAGCGGCACCATCCGCTGTCATTTCAGCACCCCCCTTCTTCATTGGAAGTTGGGGCATTCTCGGTCTGGAGTGCGGTGGGGTCCCCTATATTGCTTTACCTTGACCTGGGCACGGTGACAGCGCCCCTTGAGTCTTTATCCATACCAGCAAGGCTTTTAACATAGTAGGCGCACTTTAAGACCATAAAGATGACCAAGCTCGTTGGCTGACACGGTAATCCAGTGACAGGTACACTTGAGTCCTTTCCACCAGCTACTCTATAGACTAAAGCCGATTGGCCGTTCCCGCACCTCATAGTACACCCCCTAGTATTCTGAACGCTCCCCGTCATGTCCAGCTGACCCTTGCCCAACGCTATAAAGGTGGCCCCTCCCCCCCTGCATGTTGTCGCCAGCCGTCACGCCCTTCGATTATTTATATTCCCATATAACTGCCTCTGAGCTCCGATTTCCCCCGGTCACGTTTTGTTACAGTAGAAACAGGATCCCGAATTGTCTACATTTCACCGCCTGCCGCCGACGCTTTGTACCTTTTTGCTGTAAATACGAGGACTTTTATTGTAAATAAAATGTATAAATATTCCGCGTGGAGTCTGTGGCGTGACTACAGGTTTTGAATTCCCGAAAGACTGGGTTCTCCTCAAAAGTGGAATTGTATATCTAAAGCCGAAATGTTTTTGGGGGTAAAGTAGAGAAGGGTTAGACAACCCCCTGTGGGGTTTTTCTTTCCCCACACTTTGTGTCCCATTAGATAGACTTTCACTTCCTGTCCTGTGAGCACCACAGGAAGTGGGAGTTTCTAGAGTCCCCTTTTTTGGAGGTGTTCTTTCATTCCGTCACCATGATGTAGGTCAAAACTTCAGTGACGGTTGTCACCGGGGGAAATCTCCCGAAGAGGACAATAAAAACCTGACTGGGCTTTAGACCGACTTTAAAATTAGTGTGTGCGATGTCTATGCAGAGCAAAATGGGTTCCCTTTAATTTAACCCTTTCCAGTTGCTTGTACTTTACCTTCAATTTGCTCCCCGGCCGTGCCAGTCATCCACCAGGAGGGACAGGAGAGCCTTGTGGAAGCTAGCACAGAACTATGGGCTCCCCATGGGTAAGGCTTCAGTTGGCCCAGCACTCCCCATGGGTAAGGCTTCAGTTGGCCCAGCAACTCCCCCGCGGGTAAGGCTTCAGTTTGCCCAGCAACTCCCCCGCGGGTAAGGCTTCAGTTTGCCCAGCAACTCCCCCGCGGGTAAGGCTTCTGGCTTGGCCCAGCAACTCCCCCGCGGGTAAGGCTTCTGGCTTGGCCCAGCAACTCCCCCGCGGGTAAGGCTTCTGGCTTGGCCCAGCAACTCCCCCGCGGGTAAGGCTTCTGGCTTGGCCCAGCAACTCCCCCGCGGGTAAGGCTTCTGGCTTGGCCCAGCAACTCCCCCGCGGGTAAGGCTTCTGGCTTGGCCCAGCAACTCCCCCGCGGGTAAGGCTTCTGGCTTGGCCCAGCAACTCCCCCGCGGGTAAGGCTTCTGGCTTGGCCCAGCAACTCCCCCGCGGGTAAGGCTTCTGGCTTGGCCCAGCAACTCCCCCGCGGGTAAGGCTTCTGGCTTGGCCCAGCAACTCCCCCGCGGGTAAGGCTTCTGGCTTGGCCCAGCAACTCCCCCGCGGGTAAGGCTTCTGGCTTGGCCCAGCAACTCCCCCGCGGGTAAGGCTTCTGGCTTGGCCCAGCAACTCCCCCGCGGGTAAGGCTTCTGGCTTGGCCCAGCAACTCCCCCGCGGGTAAGGCTTCTGGCTTGGCCCAGCAACTCCCCCGCGGGTAAGGCTTCTGGCTTGGCCCAGCAACTCCCCCGCGGGTAAGGCTTCTGGCTTGGCCCAGCAACTCCCCCGCGGGTAAGGCTTCTGGCTTGGCCCAGCAACTCCCCCGCGGGTAAGGCTTCTGGCTTGGCCCAGCAACTCCCCCGCGGGTAAGGCTTCTGGCTTGGCCCAGCAACTCCCCCGCGGGTAAGGCTTCTGGCTTGGCCCAGCAACTCCCCCGCGGGTAAGGCTTCTGGCTTGGCCCAGCAACTCCCCCGCGGGTAAGGCTTCTGGCTTGGCCCAGCAACTCCCCCGCGGGTAAGGCTTCTGGCTTGGCCCAGCAACTCCCCCGCGGGTAAGGCTTCTGGCTTGGCCCAGCAACTCCCCCGCGGGTAAGGCTTCTGGCTTGGCCCAGCAACTCCCCCGCGGGTAAGGCTTCTGGCTTGGCCCAGCAACTCCCCCGCGGGTAAGGCTTCTGGCTTGGCCCAGCAACTCCCCCGCGGGTAAGGCTTCTGGCTTGGCCCAGCAACTCCCCCGCGGGTAAGGTCTGTATTTACTTGCAGGGTGAGGCAAAGCTCTCACTTTAAGACTGACTCCTGAATGCGTCCAGAGCAGCAAGGAGAAGCCCTGTATGAGCCCACATGATACTTGCTTACCTGGGGCTGAGGACTCTTGATCCCGCCTTAGAACACCACAAGCCCAATCAAGGCTTTCATGTTGAGTGGACCACATGTTCTAGGTTTTCTTCACCAAAAGGAATGTGTGCAGATGCTGGGGCTACCATGAAAAACAGTAGGCCCTGATGGTTGGGCCCGGTTCATTTTAGAACCAACCTGATGCTCGGGTCCTAGAAGAAATGGCCACCACCAGAGGGAATCTCCACTTTCACGGGGGTGCCATGTTTGAACTAGTGCGAAGGTGATCAACCAAAACCCAGTGAAACCACAATGTCCGTGAAAAGACCCACAACCAGATGTGGTCAACAAAACAGCACCCAACCCCTAAACCGGGGGGGGGGGGGGGAGGGGGTAGCCAATCTTCGTCCCTATGGCTGTAGTGAAGCTACAAGTCCTATTGGGCATTTCAATGACATCCAGAGGCAGATGCCTGATGGGTGTCGTAGTTTTACCACTGCTGGAGGGCTTAAAGGAGAACTATGAGGGGAGTGCTTTTCACTCACCTCATAGTTCTAGCCGACCTGTGACAATGAGACTGCCACAGGTCGGCTCAGTAGATCGGGAGGTGAGCGAACAGATACCTCTTGATCCTGTCACGGCTCTTTGCTGTGACGGGGAGGGGCTGGATTCCCCCCGCTCCGATCCACCAGCGCTGATGGATGGGGGAGGGGGCGGGTACTGCTGGCTCTGCCTCTAGATAGGCAGAGCCAGCTGTCAGTCACGCAGCTGGGCGGATCCCGGCACAATTGTCGAGATCCGCTTCAGCTGCGGCGTCTCAGTATACCGTGAGCTGCAGCTCCCTATATACTGAGCCTAGGGTGACGGGAGGACGCTAGTTTGTGTCCTCCCGTTACCCTAAGGAGAACTATGGGGAAAAGACTTAACCTCATAGTTCTCCTTTTAAGTTTGGCTACCTCTGTTCTAGGGGTTGTCCACTGTTTTGTGGACCACATCTGGTTCCGAGTCTTCTCTTTATGGAAGTTTTTTGTGTTGTTGTTAGACCTCCAACCAGATGTGGTCAACAAACCCAACGGACACCTCTAGAACAGGGCTAGCCAAAGCTGTGAAGAAGCTTCAAATCCCATCATGCATCTGCCTCTGGAAGTCATGCTTAGGGGCATCAAAGGCTTGCGATGGCTCATGGGGTTCATAGTTTCACAGCAGCTGAAGGGTTGAGGTTTGGCTACCCCACCCTGGAAGAACGGGTCCAGAGAAGGAACCTAGGGCCAAAAGGGTCCATGTCAGTCTTGCAATGCCTCATGGGGTTTGTAGTTTCACCACAGGTAGAGGGACGAAGTTTGGCTACCCCCTGGTTTAGGGGTTGTCCGCTGTTGTGTTGACCACGTCTGGTGGTGGGTCTTCTCCTCATGGAAGTTTTATTTTTTTAATGGTTTCACCATTAAAAAAAAACGAGTCCCAAGAAAGAACCTAGGACCCGACGGGTCCCAAGAAAGAACCTAGGACCCGACGGGTCCCAAGAAAGAACCTAGGACCCGACGGGTCCCAAGAAAGAACCTAGGACCCGACGGGTCCCAAGAAAGAACCTAGGACCCGACGGGTCCATGCGAAGAAGACCAGCTGGTCTACCTGGAAGGGCCCAAAGCGGTTACACCCCTGACCTTCTAGGGCAGTGGCGGCGAACCTCGGCACTCCAGCTGTTATGGAACTACAAGTCCCATGAGGCATTGCAAGACTCTTGACAGCCACAGACATAACTCCCAGAGGCAGATGCATGTTGGGATTTGTAGTTTTGGCACAGCTGGAGTGCCAAGGTTCACCACCACTGTTCTAGGAGGAGAGGGATGAGGAAGTCCAAGGCTACCTGACCAGACAACCAACCTTGCTAGTCAAGGCTTACCAAGATAAACGGTGGGAAGTGACTCCTGAGCCAATCGGAGAACTCGGGGGGTCATTATGGGAGGCATCACCACTAGGGTACGCAGGAAATGCCAGTGAGACCTTTGCCCCCAGACTCGGGGATAGGAACCATCAAATAGAAATAAGGGGAACATCCTCCCTGGTACCCCAAAATGAGCAAAGACTGGTAAGAGTCCATCCTCACAGAACACTAGCCAGAAACTGAGGCATGCTGGGTAGAGGCGGGGCTATCCTGGACTGGCCTGCACTTTGTTTGCCAGTGTCCCATCCTCCTGTAGGTGGCAGTAGAACCCCAGCCTCCGAATTCCTGTGTTCCTCAATGGACGAGAAAGAAATACCCATTGATCCTGCCAGAAATCCAGCGCTGCCCTGTGCCCTCTGCAGTGTTATCTGAAATAGCATTATAAGCACTCTGTGGGTCACCCCTGTGGAGAACAGAACCCCCCCCCCCCCC